AAAAACAGCGTATGCAAATTTATAAAGAAAGTTTTTTTCCCATACATCAAGCATTGAATTTTTCCAAACTTTGCCTGTAAATTTAATCAATTCTTCTTCTGAACAGAGGTAACGGTTTGCTGCAAAACCCAAGCGGAAAATCACAGCTCGATGAAAACTACAGTTTTGTAAGCAGAAATAATAAATATCTCGCGATTTTGTCTGTATTGTTATAATTAAACGGCTATTGGTACTGTTTGAAAATATTGCAAAATCACTTGAACTTATTTCAATAGAGATGTTCGTATTTCTCAACAAATTTTTGATTTCTTTCGGTAAAATTGAATCTGTTGGTAATAAACTATTTTGATCTGACATATCAGAAGCAAAGAAATCGATAATTTACATACTAAAAAGTTTAAGTTGTAGGCATGGTAAGCCTATCCCACCATCTAAGATGGGGTGATATAAAACTTCTTTTCTTATGTCGAGTCTGCTTGTTTTTTTTCAATTCTGTATTTAATAATTCTTGGCATTTACTAACAGTATCCAAGTTAACTGTAGTATGACGAGCCAAATGAAAAAACTTAGGGAGAACATAAACTGACAGTGTTAAAGATTTGGCCCTCAAAGATTTACTTAGTGAAATTAACCCTCGATGTTTTTGAATTTGTGAACTCAACAATAATTCAGTATTTTCAATTTTTTGGGAAGTGTAAAACAAGACACCAAGTATTTTTGTTTCCTTGACTGTTTTATAGGGTGATAAATCAGGTATGGAAAGCACTTCGCTTTTACTTATGTTAATCATCATTTGAGTTTGTTTGCAAAATGTATCGATTAAGCAAAACAACCTGTCAATACATCGGATTTTGATAAGGCAAGTTATGTCGTCTGCATATGAAACTAGTTTGGGGCACAATATCCCGAAACCTTCAATTGCTTCTGTAGATTCAATTGCTTGAAGAAGGGGTTCGATAAAAACTATGAATAAAAATGCGGGAAGAGGGCAACCTTGTCTCACACCGCGATGAATTTTGAAGCTGGCTGATAAAAAACCATTTATCTCAATTACTGCTTTTGAGTCTAAATACAAAATTTCAATAGCTCTAACTGAAAGCTCATCAAGGTTTAACCCTTTCAAAATTTTGATGAGAAGTGATCTGTCAACTCTGTCAAATGCTTTAGAAAAGTCTAATTTTACAGCACATGAACCTCGGGTAGCCAATCGTTCTGGAGTAATCGCTTTTTTCAATTTTCGTATTGCTGTGTGCATTTGTATTCCAGGCAAATACGCGTGCTGATGGTTTTTTACAACTTTGCAAAGGTCATTTTTAATTCGATTACAGACTACATGGGCAAAGATTTTCGCGTCAGTATTCATAAGGCTGATGGGGCGAAAATCTTGTACTGCTATGGCATTTTCAGATTTCGGGATCAGTTTGATTATTGCTAAATAAAAACTGTTTGGAAGTTTTCCACCATGAACAAAATGATTAAAAACTTTAGCTAAAATTGAACAAAACTCATCCGTGAAAGTCTTGTATAGCTTAGAAGTAAGGCCGTCTGGTCCAGGCGAGCTTTTCAAATTCAATTTGTTTATAGCCAAGTGAATTTCATCTTCTGTAAAGTAATTATAGCCATCATTCTCATTTTTTTCGAGTTTATTTTTTGATAAAAATGTCTTTAGTAGTTGATCGGAGTCTGTTGTAGAACTATTTGAAAAAATATTTGAAAAATACTTTCGAAATTGATTAAGAATATCTTCATCCATATGATAAACGTTCTGATCCACTTGAATTCTCTTGATTGAGTTGATTGTGTTCTTTGATGTCCATTGACTACAAAATTTGGGAACACCCTCGAATGTATAGCTGAGAGTTTTCTGAATTTTTCGATAATCTGAAAAATCTTTTTCCTTGGAAACTTTTTGAAGATGTTCCAGCACCAAATGATATTTTTCAATCAAATTAGGGTTGGGACCTTTTCCGCTGTGAATGCAATCTCTGAGAACATTTTCGTGATACTTCAATAAATTAAGTTCTTTCTGATCTACACGCTTTTTGTTCTCTTGAATAAACCTCAGAAGGTCACGAAAATTGTGCTTAAAGTTTTCGTAACTACTTGGTGATTCGTTTTCGTAAAAGTTTTTTAGGTCTTCACGAATTAAGCTGGCGTTGTTGTTTAAAATTTCTTCGTTTAATTTCCAGTAACTAGGGCCGCGCTGATACAAGTTAGATGGCTTAACAAAAACGTGTAAGAGTAAATGGTCAGATATTGATATTTGAATGCTTTGCATAGAATCATACTCTGATTCGAATTTTAAGAAGACATAATCTGTGCGTGCAAAAGTTTTATGTTGTTTGTCATAATGTGTATAATCACAAAAATCATTCTTGAGTGCAAAATCAACAAAACCAAAACAGTCAAGAATTTGTTCTTTGAGTTGGGTAAATCGTTTGATACGTGCATCATTTAACTTAAGTATTGAAGAACTGTTAATATTATCATAACTCAGCGCATTCTCTCGGCTTAATGAAAACGACTTAGTATTTGTTCCTTATTTGAAATTTTCGAATGACATTTCTCAACAAAATTCCATGACGATTGATTTGAAAAATAAAAATCGATTTCGATTTGATTTAAATCATACGATGAAAAACATTTAAACAGACTATTCTTTCGCCAGCAAAAAGGCCTGCTAACAGACTGCGAAGCTTTTTAAAATCCGCAGACGATCAATCGTAAACAGATAATTTCAGCGTTAGAAAAATACGTGCGCTTTGCAGACTTTTCAGAATGTTGCTCTGATGAGCAATTCTTTTCTTATTGCGAATTACGAGTTTCAAAGCAGAACTTTGAAAGCTCTAATTTGTGTTATGATTTTGATGTAGCCTGATAAAAATTGGTTGAATAAAAACCTATCTCGCTTCAAAAAAATGCGAATCTATCTGAACCAGATAATTCCATCGTGAGACTTCATATTTATTCTAGATTCCTTGTAAAAGAAAAGTTCACTCTACAAATATCTGGAAGGAATATCAGCCTGGTGGGATTGTCTGTTTTTCTGCGCTCTCGGAATTTGAAGTTTAAAAATTGTGCCAAAGTGGTTGCTTTTTAAGAAAAAAGGCTTGGAAATTTCTAATTTATGTGAAAACCAATATATTGTAGATTTATATCTTTCCATCAGCGATTGACAATCAAATTATAAAAACGCTCTAAAGATATTTAAGGTCAACAAGATAAGCAGCACTCACTTAATAAGATGAAAGACTTTCTCTTTTGCTGTTTTCAAATACTGTCAGTTTTAGTTTTGACGGCTTGGTTTACGATTTTCTTTACAAGGCCAACTGCATCGTTTAGCGAATTCGATATATAGAGATTTATGTTCTAAGTATCTTTTTGATGTACACTGCATCAAAAATTACTCAGTCTATGTTCTTATTGAACAGTTTTTGCCTTCGTTTATGTTTCGTTATTTTGATTAGTGTGTTGCTCAGACTGACCGAAACTTATTTCATTACATTACTAAGCATGGCATGCTTGCAATTATTTATGCTAACAAATTGACATTTGAGCAATTTTATCCACTCTCGATATACGCACCTGTTAAGTTATCGATGTATTGCGTCACAATAGAGATTGAATTGGGCAATCGATGAATTGCGCCCCTTGCCCTTACCTCTGATGGTTTTCAAGGGCCAATAATTGGTCCTAATTTGTTTCTCACTTTCATTAATGATCCTAAATCTCCTTGCCCGGCAAATCTCCTAAAAACCCCCTGGTTCGATCTCCTGTGAACCTTTTTTGGCGGACTTTGGTCTTAAATTATGAAATTGTTGAGCCGCTTGCATAAAAAACTTCAACGTGAAATTTTTTTTTTCAAGACCTGCAGAAGGTTTGAAGTGGCCCCGCATGCACATGGTGACCATGAGGATGTGGTATGACTTCCGGGAACCCCCCACATGCAGTGAGCCCTGCTCCATAGTGGGCTCAGAATCATTTGGAACGCCGCGAAGAAATAGTGAAGCTGACAGCAGCTGCTAGCAAAACCAGCTTGAAAGGCAATTTAACTGTGTTAAAATGTATTTTAAATGTATTTTTCGACATGGATTTCAGTCGATAGCTCCGACTAACAACTGTATCAAACGTGATTTGACGATGATGTTGTACTTTTGCTAGCCAGGCAATGAGGTAACAATTCCTTCACAGAGGCAATAACTTTAGACGATTATGTGAAGCTTCTATTCAATGACCACTCGGTTTTCCTGCATAATTGACCGAGTATTTACCCGCAGTGTTGAGAACCAAATATGTTTGAATTTGAGCGAATATCAGAACAAAACAATTAAAAACTCACACTTCTTGCCAATATTCGGTGGTCAAATATCACAAGGCGAAAAGTCGTACGCTACTTGGAAATCTACATCAGTTCTGGATCTGTTTCAGATCTATGAGTTTGTTGTCGCGGAATCTGCAAGAGCAGCTAATTCCTTTGGTCACAAACTCCGCAAAAGGTTTTCAAGAATCCATGCAATAAAGCATGTACACGGAATTCGTCTACTTATAAGCCAAAAAGTGAGCTCTGCAAAAATGATCCACCTAGACCGCCTTAGAAATATTTAATCAGAGAATGAACAAATGGATTGTTTCCACCGAAAATTTCTACATTCGATTGAATACCGTAAACTTATTAATCGACGTATTTCAATGTTCTTCAAGAGCTCCTTACTTTTTCTTCGATGCTTCAAGGCAATTATGACATCGAACATGGGCCTTCAAAGATTATTCTGCAAGAAGTATCTATCTTTTAAAACCTCCACGAATAACTCTTCATTTATACGGTTACGTATCGGGTGAATAGTATAAACACAGTTTTTCATGTTTCTGAACATGTTAGGCTGAAGCAAGTTCAATATCAATGCCGACAGAGATCCTTTCTCGACTTCTCTGTTAATTCAGAATCATAATTCAGATGTCATCGAAAACTTTTTTTAATTGAAATTGTAATTTTTTTTTACAGATTTGTCATGCCACAAAAACCAATCAAACATTTGCCATCCACCTATTACGACAGCACGTCGAAAGTCAACCCTGTTTTAGCTGCTTTTCAACAGGAATTTGAAGAGTTCAAGAAATTTGCTCTCAAAAGAGCAGAGGAGAAGGAAAGGGATGCCCTGCCTGCAGAAGATGTTTATGCTAGAGGGTATAATAATGTTCATAATAAATTACACACAACAACGAGAACTGGCCACCGACTTACAAACAATTTTCTCCTTTATTGATATATTTTTTGTTTATCAGGTCAAATCGGCTATACAAACTCTGGAACTCGTACATGCACCGTTTACCAAAAGAGTATTTTATCGAGAAGTTGATGGAGCTTGGGGATCTTTTGTGCAATCAGCGGGTAACTGTTTTAAGATACCTGTAGAGTAAATCATGTAGTGTTTCTCAGAAGCTTCGAAGTATTAAGTGTTACGAATGCTCAAACTAGTGAGTAGAAAAGTTTTCATTTTTGTTTCTTTAAAAATTTGAGAACTCTTTACCACTTCACATGTTAGTTTCAATTTGAGTACCTCACAGCTGATTTAAGACGTATTTAATTCCTAGGAATACGATGTTGCTCTGCATCAGTGCTACGAAATGTACTTTGCATTTACCAAAATCTGGATCCCTGATGAGAATTATAAAAGCATTGACACTCTTCTGGAAACAGGACACTTCACATCAACTGTCAATGACGCTTCGACGGTTCTAAATTTCTCCACTCCTTGCAGATTTACTTTAAAGTACTAAAAATTCCCTTGTCTTAACTGATACTTTTCTTTCAGATTCGAGCAATAATAGGATCAGCTGCCTGTAAATTCAGACTTGTAGTTCAAAGTGATAAATCACTTCAGGTAATCTCTTCAAAAAATTCAACTATAGAGATAAATTTGTGTTTCTTCCGACAAAAAATAGCCTTTAAAAAATTTTGTTGCAGTCGCGACATTCGCTTGTGTTGATTGAGAAACTTCTGCTTAAACTGAGAACAGCGTCTCAGATATGTCTACCACTCGAACGTCTATGTTGGCTAGTCTACAACAGTGAGCAGTTTGGAAGTTGAATATAGTTTCTTTTTACAAAAAAGATGGTTCTTTAATTTTAACGGTTGCTTTAGGTACGATTCACATATATAACATCTGTCGCTACCTTATGATCTATGGCCACTCTCGCATGGTGAGAATCTTCTAATGACATTATAGCTTATATTTCATTTTTAACTTCGATTGTGAGTTAAAATATTTCTCAAGAAGATTATAATATTTATGGTGTGAATCAATTAGTAGCCAACTCTTTAAAATCAATTTCATTTTGCAAATCCTTGGCACTCGATCTTGGGATTTCTGTTCGGGTCTCTCTTGGCATCAAAAACGAGTTTAAATTTTGGTTAATTAACTTAGAAACAGTTTGAGCTCTCTTTAGGCTCTGGAATATCTGCTGTGGGCCAGTTGTTGTCTGGAATCCTGCATTCCTCTTCTCTCTATCAGATATCTCACTTGGCGGTCCACTCTCTACGTGGCGGTGTGCCAGTGCTACATGGATCTTAAGGACCTCGTTCGCTCAGAAGTTGGTCGCCAGTTTAAATAGAATGAGTCAAAATCATGGCTCAAACCAAAACAAACTGTGTTCTTCCAAGATGGGGTTCTCTCTCTTTTTTTAAGTTTTGTAAAATGAACAAATTTTTCCCTTCTTGACAGCAAATTTCATATGATTATAAATAGATTAAATGACAATTCTCATGATTTTATGCTGAGAAATAGTAAAAAATTTATTGGTTTGTGCCAGTGAATCGTGAATATTTTGCAATAGATCGCAAAGCGTTTGTTTTTTTTTGCATTAGCTACACTTGAGTCTCAAATAAAAATTTCCATACAATTAATCATTCAAAACGTTTACAAGCGATGTGGATCAAAATATGCAAAAGGTTCAACCAATTTTCGCCAATAAAAAATGTCCGCCAAGTGCAAGAAAAAAACCTAATGACGTAACTTTAAAAAGTGTTGTTTGTTTTCAGTCGTTTGCAAAGCGTGCCCTGGTGAAGATAGACGAGCTGAACGAACTGGAAAAATGCAGTGCGAGCAAGAGTGACGTCACAACTGTGCCCATCTTCAGGGCGGCCACCATCCGAGTGGGTGTAGTCGTGTTTCTCAAACAGGTGTATGACTTCAAGAAGAGACAGCGTCTGATGCCCAACAGACCCAACAAGAACAAGAGTCTCAGAGACATCGCAAACGTCAGTTTTCAACTTTTTCATCAAAGTTTTCCCAGTTTCAGCTCAGCCCTTGTATTTATGAATCCCTCAAATCACTATGCAATATTCGCACTATGTTATATATACGAATTTTGTGCCCCTTATTTTTTTAGTTTTGTTTTGGAGATAATCGGAAAAAATTTTGAAAAGTCTCTGTCAAGCTTAAGAAAATCAAAGTTCCTTGATTGTGATGTTTTTTTAGCAGGAAAAATCTCAAATTTTGTTTGCAATCAATTTTGATTTTTTTGCGGCTTGACGTTTGATTTATTTTTAAACTCAGGCCATTTCCCTTGTTAGCATGAAGGCAAACTCTCTGTCGAACTACAAACAAATTAAATTCACGAAAACGTGATCGACTTCTAATTTCGAACGTGGATTTTGATTTTCAGATTTCCCAGTGGAGTGAAAATTTTACCCATTGGTCTAGTTTGAATAGCGGTCATAAGAAATTTGAAGAGATTTAAGGCCATATTTTTTCACTTTGAAATTTGAAATTGAAGTTTTTGTTTTTCAAAAAACATGTCCGTTTTTTTTCTGTTCCCTATGTTTGTTGGCTATGTTATTTTCTTCCTAGCAGGGGCGATTGACTTAAGTGAAAAATTGATAGAATGAATGGAAGTAATAGCTTGAATAACTTCAAACTGTAGAAGAATTAAATTTAGAGGCTAGCCTGTATTCAAGTTGAGCATAATAACCGAAGATAATCTGACCAGTTTTTCTCGACCATGAGACAATTTTTTTGGCTTTTTTTATTAACCCAATCACGAATAAAAGAACTTTTTATGATGCTGCACTTGACTCCCCACGAGAAGCAGCTTATACAGGGCTTACTTTCGAACTGCTGTCGTAGTATGTAGAAGGTTAATGTTTCATTTTTTGTTGCAAAATGATAAATCTGAGAAGAACATTTAGGTTTTCAGTTCTTAATTGAAATAAAATTAAGTTCTATCCTTATTGTTTGAAGACGCAGCGAAGCGTGGCACCACTTTTGATACATGCCAAATATATCATGGCAAGTGTGCCGACAGAAAGTACGATAAAACCACGAATTCGGAAGATTATTTTCCGAAAAAGTCAAAAATATACTATCAACCAATATTTTCATATATTCAATTTAATTTGTTTTGAATGAAATTTATTTTTAGGAAATTTTTCTAGATATACAATTGCCAGCTAGAGTGTACATTGAAATGAAAAATACGAAGCCGATAAAAAGCTTTGATGATTCAAAAAATTGTAATTGAAAAATATTAAAATGACTTCCCCTCGGAACACAAAATTGGAGTAGTCGAAATTACAACCGAGACGAAAAAAACTTTTGAGTATTATGGGTAGTTGAAGTGTAGCCATGCTCGAAAAATGTCTGTTTGATGGCAAAATAGAAGAGTTGGCTAATTGATTCAGTAGTTTTGTTAAATTTGAAGATATTTTACCTGTGATCAGTTTTCATAAAGTAATAAGGTTTTATAGATTATCAGTTTTTTCAGTTTAACGGACTAATTCTGCTTGTGTTTTTAAGCATGTATCTTTGATGCGCTAGAATAATGATTTTAAATTCAAGTGCGTTATTTGAATTGGTTTTGAAAAATGTTTACTAGAGTCTTGTCCACTTTATTTCTCGGTAGTTGGCATTGCTTGTTGGGTGGATAAACAAACAAAAACTTTTGTTATTTGATTTTTTTTGTTTTTTTATTTTCATCCTCTAAAATTGTCTGGTTGGTCCGATTTTCCACAGAAAAAGGTTTTAAGTTTGTGCTCGGGATGATTTTTTGTACAGACAAGTTTAGATTATTTAACCGACATTTTTTAACGGAAGTTTTACTTCTGATCGTTTTTTAAACCAACATTTTCACCTCTGATCATTTTTTGCAAAATTATGTTGGCTTAAATTTTGCCAATTAACGCGCGATATTTTTCGTTCTGTAACGCGTAAGCGACGAAATAAAGCGGCAGCAACCATTTAGAATTAAGTTGAGGTAGACTAATTAGTTTAATTAGTGTGTTGTGTTATGAGAAAGTAATCAACACTATATACATACGAGACATCACTCGAAAGGATGATGAGCCTATTTGAAGGTCACGTTTGTGCTACTTGCTTGAATAATCGATTCAAGTGTTTATAAAAAGTGAAAGTAGAATAAGACTGCTCGTATCAAAACGAAGACTAGAGATTTTCGGCTGCCCGTAAAACTTTATCGAATAGTGTTAGCTTAAGGAAAAATTGATTCAGTTTTTTTTTGATATTTTTTTCTAAACCATCTTTGCAAACACTGTATAAATACTTCGTGATATGATAAAGCCTATTTGAAGTTCCCATTTGGTGCTACTTGCTTGAATAATTGATTAAAGTGTTAATAAAAATTAAAGTGTTTATAAAAAAGTGGAACAAGACTGCTCGTATCAAAGCGAAGCCCTGAGATTTTCGGCTGCCCGTAAAACTCTATGAAATAGTGTTAGCTTTAGGAAAAATTGATTCAGTTTTTTTGATATTTTTTTCTAAATCATCTTTGCAAACGCTATGTAAATACAAAGTGGTATGATTCGCACATAGCAAGTTATTAATTAGACCAAATAGCATGCCTCAATTCAATTTATAACGATTGCTGATACGGATTAAAGCTCCGGTACGCAGTTTAAATTAGTCTGGGGAAAAAACCAACCGAGCATAAATATTCCGTCTATTTTTTTTCGAAAGTTAGAACAATTATAACTGTTTTCATATACATGAGGGATGATTTTCAAAATCTTGGAAAAGTTTTCACTCAAAAGTTTTTTTGAAATGTTTCAACATTTTTAAAAATCGAAAATTACTCTACAGAAATTAAGGAGTTGTCTGAACATTCAGGTTTTTGCCTTGATACGAGCAGTCTCGTTGTTTTTAACATTGATTCGAGCTCTTTTTGCAGGTTGGCAGTGGCGACGAAGTTTGTTTCAATTCCATTAGTATTTGTATCATTCTAGTTATACAATAGATGTTCATTTATCATGCAACTATGTGTACATGTTCCGCCCTGTAGAACTTTAACTGGTTCATACATTGTAGTCCCGTTTGCAGATCGTCAGACCAGAGATTGAGAGTAATTATTGAATCCAAATGTTTTTTCCTAATTTTTAGAATGTGTGGCCGCGTACTGGCACTGAGAAGATGTTGAACGAGGTGTTTGATGGGTCTGCGGCCCAGTTTCTCACCATCCTCGAAGTGGTCAATGACCCCAACAGACGCATGACATTCACTCAGTCGCCCTCTAGCGAGCAGGACGATGTCTGGGCTGAAGTCTACTCGGAGTTGTTCTTTGCCGGACAAGAAATCATCGCCGGTAATTACATTCGGAGTAAATATAAGGCTTCATGTCGCCTTTATGTTTTTTGGTAGCAGAGCTAGGGAGTATGATTGGATAGAACGAAGATTTTCCCTCTGTCTTACTCTCATAAAACTTTTTCATAACTCATCATCGTTGGAACAATATGTTGTACTTTCACAGCAACCGGCTATCCTTGTTTCCTGTAAGCATGTGTTTATGTTTTATTTGCAGGAGGGGGCGGAGCTTCTAAGATGCAGACGAGTCACGTGGGAATAGGTAGTGTCACTCAAGTCAAAGAGACAACACTCATGCAGATGGCGTCCAGAGGTACACTCAGAGTCATGAAGTAGAACCATAAAAATTGAACCATTTCTTTTTTCGAATTAATCTTGAATCATTTATTTGGTTAAAATATCTCCGCTCGTTATCATAGGTCTCGACGGAGTGACAATTGAGAGCGTGATCAAGTTTGTGAAGTTGGCCTACTGCTACGAACAGTGGGATCCTCTCATCGCTATCTTGGAACCCACCATACGTCTACTAGAGGTATAAAGGAACAACTCATCTTTCGACTGTCCAAAAGTTTTTTTTTCGAGACTATAGGATTGAACAAATATGAACAACAGCTCCTGATATTTAATTCTGAAAATTCCCCAAATGGAAAAATTCCCCTTCATGGTTATGGAAAATTAAGTCGCAAAATGCAGCAGTGTTTCGATTCTGGCCAATTGGTGATTCATTTTCATCGTTTTCAGTCTGATGAGAGCTTTACTCCAAGCATTTCAGCTTTATTCTGTTCGAGAAAACCGTGTTGAAAGTTTCAGGGTGTTTTTCTTATTTATAGGTGGGGGTGATGTGCTTTGGAATTCAAAAAGTAAAAGATTTGCGACCAGTGAGGCTCGAACTCACGACCTTAAGATTATGAGACTTACGCGCTGCCGACTGCGCCATGGTCGCTTATAATTAATGTTCATTGCATTATTTAGAGCGGAGAAGCTCACGTAGCCGAATATGTGCACGAAGCCCAAACGCTTCGCATTATATCTGGTCTGGAACAGCTGCACGCGAATGCGAGGAAACATCGGAGGTTTCTGCTACTGCAGACGGAGAGTCAGGCCACCATAGAGAAGGAGGGAGGGGACATGCCTTCTACCTATCAGCTGAACAAACAAGGTCTGAACAGTTATTTTTTCTTCATATTTTACCCTGAGTAGAGAGTATGGGTCTTATTAGCGCAATACGTTTTGTCGCATTAGCGCACAGTTATTTCTTTCAAAGGTTTTCAAAAAGTCGCAGCAGCATTTCTCTTTAATTCTGGTTGGGAATTTTTTTTATCTAATGGTTTCCCTATGGTATTATTTTACATCCAATTTGGGCTGACAAGCTCTAAAAACGTTCTGAATACGCCCTCGGGGCCAATATGTATAAACTTAGAAAGAGTGCGAGCCGATAATACGCAACTTTCAGTCAAAACTATCCAAAAATGCTCTATGTCGACTTTTTCTTTAAATTTTTTTTCCGAAAAAACCGAAGAAAGTTAAAGAAATTCACCTAATTGGCGAGATTTTCCCATTTATTTATGTTATTGGTAGCTCATTAGTAACGAGACGCCAAAAAATTACTCATCAGTAATAAGTGAGCCTCGATTGAGCCTTCTTTTAATGAATGTTTCGAGATTGAGTAGTATCCTTCGAAGTTAAACATCGGGTAATTCCACTGCATCAAAGTGGGAACCCCGAACACTTTGAAAAGTATCGTCCGATAAGTTTACTTCCATTTACTGACAATTTTTTTGGAAGAATCATGTGTAAACAATTGATCAAATTTATCAAAAAAAAACATGAAAAGTTTTACCCTGAGCAGTTTGGATTCGAGCCAACAAAATCTTGTTCTCAAAATAATTTATAATTTTTTGGATTCATGAGAACATGCTACGACAGAGACAGTGCTATTCAAGCATGTATTTTTGACTTGAGAAACATTTTTGGCACAATATGTCATGATACCCTTTTGGCCAATTAGCGAGATATGGGCTTCGAGTTAATTTATGAACGAAATGCTTTTTTTTTCCAATTAACAAAGTGTTTAACAAAACTACTTGAAACACTTGATAGCTCGATTAATACAACTTTCAATTTTCTTGGCATCTGCGACCATCTTGGCTTCAAGGGAACGACAACGCCTGGGACCCCAAAGGTCCTAGGTTCCAATAGGGGCACGACTTAGTTTTTTGTTTTTCAAAATGATCTTATTCAGTTTCACAAATCTTGTCGGTCTATCTGTTTTGTAGGCTTAAAAGCCTTTTTTCGGCTTAAAATTTTCATTTGGCTCAAATTATTATGGCTTATGTTTTATCAGCTAAGTAATCTAATTTTGCGTCATATCAAAGCAAAAAAATTGTTTGCCCCTCCCCTCGAAAGTACAAAAAAAGAAAACTCTTAGAATGTCAAAATTTTATTGCTCAAGTTTTTTTTCGGCACAACGGAAGTTCACCATGGTTTTGTTGGCTCAGTTACTGTTCGATAAATGTTTCTCAAAAACATTAACGCGGCACTATTATTGCCGGAAGTCTTTCCCTTAATTTGAAAATCATTCGAGACAAAGTAGTCAATTTATTTTTATTGTGGTGTTTACGAACTTTTTTGACTTTATTTTATGTGTTGGTGTTATGTTTATGGAGTATTGCATGTGTTGTAAAGCAGCTCCGCTTCACCTCTCTGTAATTTTATAATTAAAACGAAAATGCCAAATTCTACTTGAAAAAGAATTTTGTAATTTTTTAGACAGAAATAGCCTGTTTCTGTCTAAAAAATTGCGAAATTATTTTTCAAGTAGAATTTGGCATTTTTGTCCGTCATTGTAAAATATGCCAATTGGAAAACAATTTTGAAGGCAATTAACAAGAAAAACCCAAAAAAAAAATTAAAAAAAAGTTAATCTTTTTTTCCCTAAATTTTCATACAAGAACAAGTTACTGGGGAGGGGAGATTTGTAGGTGATGAAAAAGTACAACTCTTAGGTTGAAAAGTGTTCTTTTCAAAATTTGTTATACGAAGCTTTAAATAGCTACCATACCGTTCAGTACTGCACATTTGTTTCTGTGCAGATTTTTTTGAAAACTAAATGACTAATACAGATCTTTTTCTCGGATACATTGAAAAGGGAGAATTGAAAGTCCAGATTATCTAAGTTAAGTTACCTAAGTTTTCTAATTCATATTTTTAGTGTAGTTCGCGCCAGATGCGATGAAAGGATCTAGGGCTATTTGAATGGCCCTCCCAATCAGAGTATTGACGTATACTGAACAAATTGTATAACTTATAATCGTATAATCCGACTTTCGTATAACGTATAATCGTATGTTTTGACTTTCGCCAGAAGTGGCCCTCTTATTAATTCCATACTCGACTCTTAAAATTCAGCTTAAAATTCATAGTTTTTCAATATTTTATTAACCAGCCCTGATACGAGCAGTCTTGTTTAAACTTAATTGTGTTTGTGTTATTTAAGTCTATATTCAAAATTATTACGATTGGTTTTTATTCGTTCAGCCAAAAATTCGAAAGGTAAGTTTCTTTTGTTCTGAGTTTGATTTTCCTCTATGATTACGGGTCAATTGTATCTCTTTTGAAAGGATAAATTGTCTTGCACACAACAAATTACGAAATGGCTCAAATCATTTGGAGCATAAAGACAGAAGCTTATACTAATTAATCAAATTTAGTGTTCTGCAAATATTTCAAAACGCGTGAAAATTTAAAGGAATTTGATCAAGGGACATTCTGTAATTTGGATATCGATCATGAGAAGTCCCCTCTTGAAATGCAACTTTTCTTTTTGAACAATCAAATGTAGCGTAAATGGTATGTCAAAACGAAGCTCAATTTTCTGGAAACCGTTCAGTTTTTTATAAATAATTTCTGGTTTCGATTTATTTGATTTGCTAAAGAAAATCGTGAAAATTGGGACAACTTGAAATTTTGGATACTAAAGTTTTTTTTACAGATCTCTCGAGAAAAATTTATTGGAAACTAAACTCATAAGCTCAAAGGCATCATAAGCGGTTTAGTTACATGCATTTGATGAGTTAATCTAAATAGCTCATATGTATCGAACTTTCTTTTTTGGGGGTAATAATATCAAATTTGCACCACAATTGTGTTTGTGCTGGCCATGTGTTTCTATATTTGCTGCATTCTTGCGTTTTTTTTCAGTAAAGTTATCTTTGTTTGATTATGTTTGGTTTGCTTTGGTTTTAGCTGCGGCCTCTAAGAAGCCCGACACACTGGAAGACTGGCTAGAATTCTCAGCGATTCTCCTCAAATGCTTAGACTACCCAAAGGTATAGTTTTTTGAACGCATTTGTGATTTTTCGAAAAAATTGAAGGTTTCAAAGTGATATGATCGAATTATTGTCACACCTCTGCTCACAATATTTGATCTCTTCAAACGGGCTCTCTCCTTACTGTAATTGGCAGGGGGACTTATTGAATGCCGGGCTCTAAATTCGATTCTTTGTCTTTTGATAAGTCCTATTTAAAGAAGGGGGACTTCGTTGCATAGGAGGTTTATGGAGAGGCTACTGATAGGTTAACAAATTTGATTCTTGCACTTTGATAGGTTAACAAATTTGATTCTTGCAAATTTGAGACTGATAGGTTAACAAATTTGAAAACAGATACAAATCTGGAACCTGATCTAAACTACATTTTATGATTGGATAAATTAGATATTTTACCACTGTAAAGTATTTAATATTAACCAATCATGATCCATCTAACTAACAACCCACTTATTTGTAAGTGCTGAAATTACTTGTAATTTCAGCACCAGAGAGATTTGAATTTAACTTAGAAATTAGTTGACTCTCCAAGAAGACTTCAGCAGCCGCAATAAACCAGTATACCCTAGATCTATTGAGCCTAGCAGAGACTAGTTAAACAACCTGAGACTAGATAGTATAAGAGTAAGATTAGGATTGGTATTAGACTAAGAAGTTGCACGAATCTATCCGGCCGAAAATAAGATAGCGTGACGAGCAGACGGTGTACCCTATCCGAAATTACTCTATGAGTTATACACTTCGGTCCTAACTCATCTGGTGCGACCATAAGTCTCGAACAAGACCTTAATAGCTTAGAATTAACCAAAAATAGATTAGAATTTAGACAAAACATTTTTAAAACGACGATAATTTAATCGAAATGTCTCTACGACTCAATAGATCAAAGCCAATATTCCGAACGATAAGAGAACTACCCGGAATTGCAAGAAGACCTCGAACCAGAGACGACATACGACAAAGTAGAAACTTACCATATAGTTATATGATAGTTTGGCAAAAGCCAACACAAACTTTTGTATTTAGAATACTACTAGCAATGAATTTAGATTTTCATTTGCAAACATAAAATCTTGAAGTCAATCTTCAAAATCATTTCAGGCGCTAAACAAAATTATTAATATACAATAACGATTGATAAAAAGATCTCAGATCGTTTTCCTAAATTCTGCAGTAATATACAAAATATGTTTGAAAAATATTTATTGAAAAATCAAAATAAAAATTAGTAGCATGACAATAAATGGTTAAGTAATCATAAATCATCCTGTTGTTCCAGCTTCATCACCTAAACATAACAGCATTCATAAGCTCACTAATATCATAAAAACACTAAATCTTTTCTCTACATAAATTTAAATCATTTTAAACTTAAATTCACTTAAATTTAAAATCAGATCATCAAGGCTCATCCTTGGATCTTAAATCATTTTCTATTTAATTAAATTTAAAACTTGATCATCAAGGCCTATCCTTGGATCAAAAAGAACAATTTTGTTCTCCCCCACCCACTTAGCTAGTGTCTAACGACCTCAAACGTCGATTCACTATCCAACCCTTTCTAAAAACCCAGGACTAACAGAAATTTTTGAACAAAACTAATCATTCAAATTAGGATAAACAGTGAAGAACTTCGGTTATTCATCCTTCACTTGATCCCCCCTCTTACCAGACCCAGGATAAATCTTAGACTTAGTAAGTTTAAAATAGTATCTAACGAACTACTCGCGTTCTAATTATACCTGAACCTTGTGGATCGATTTACTATTCTCCAACCCTGAACACAATCACTACCCTTAAGTAAGATTAAGTAAGTTAACACCTTAGCTTATACTAGCCACGAGAAAGTATAAAATCATTCTTCGGAATCGATATACTTTTCTCCCCAACCCTGAACAAATAGACCCAGGTTAGGCTAACCAAAAAATCGTAAGGACTAACAGTCTAAGAAAATAGAAAAAATTTAACAACCTTTTGCATCCGTCATCCTAAACCTTATGTCATTTAAAAACCTAGGAAATAAACAAACAATCGTTTTACACAATTGTGAAATAGATAACAAAAAATACGATCTTGTAATCACACCTCATACACAAACAGTTGGATACATTAGAACAAAACGACAAACACTAAAAAGAAAAATAATAACCAAACAAACACAAATAACACGAAAAAGATTTTCAAAAAACCGAAACGCATTTTCAGAATCAGAAACCAGCAGTTTAGACGAACTTTATAAATTAAAAGAATCTATAGATAAAAATTGCCCCATTCACGATCAATTATATTTTTCCGACTCAGAAACAACTTCAAGTTCATCAAAAAGAGGAAAAAGAAGAATAAAAAAACAATATAAACACAAACCAGTACACTTATACAATTGGAATCAACCAATTAGACACATCGATAATTACATATTACCAGTCATCAAACGAAAAAATGAGCTCAACACACACCCCAGGTGAAGAAAGTCCAGATGATGATGATATCTTCCCCTTTATCGTAGATGCAACCACTGATAGAGGACTGCACATATTTTGCAAAAATTTACTCTTAAATTTGTTTGAACCCGGAATCAGTCCATGTAAAACAGAGTTCCCAGATGTAAAAATCAAAAGACAAATTATCGATCACTATTTGAAAGATATATGCAACTTAACACAACAATACGGAATCTACTCCATACAATTCAGCTCACCAAACCAGAATCACAGCAAATATGTAATTCAAACAGACTACCTTGATTTAGAATTCTCAAAAGTATTCTCAGAATATATAAAAAGCATACAATATCATTACTCACAAAGAGCAAACTCCATATTCACCAATGAAGTTTTTGCAATAATATATAGTTATATCTCGATATTAGAAAACGAAATCCCAATCTCAAATGTCTCACCGACAGAAACATCTAAACATATAAGAGTACGACATGAAATCACACTACTCTCTAGTTTTCTAAATATAATTAAAGAAAATTTCTCTAAAGATGATGTTTCACAACATACAAAACATGACTTACAAAAAATCTTGGCATGGTTTATAATAGATTATTTCACACATAATCTAGATTTAATTTCACAAGCGAGAAAAAATTTTAGACCTCAAAACTCAAACGATGATACTGCCATCACAGAACAGTCAGACTATGTTTGGGACCCCGAATGGTCTCATCCCGCATTCATAAACTTCCCACAATCAATCTCAAGTCAAGCAATAAGTACGATATCTTATGTAAGAGATTATGTAAGAGTAATACCATTAACCATTGATGCAACACCATTAAACTATAATAGATTTTTACCTGATATGCAAAATAATAGTTTAAACTCCACAGTCATACACAATGAAAACCTCAATGGAACTAGAAATCTCACCCAACAAGATATCCAGACACCATCACACTTCATAAATGAAGAAATCGTACACACAACAACTACACAACAAAGTATTTCACCGATACGTCCAAATTTAACAACACCAAGAAATACAAACCCTTCACAAACACAGGTAACCTTACAATCAACCGTTAAACCTTCGGTTGCCCCAAAATATTCACACATGGATTATCAAACATACAGACCCATGACAATACCGTCAAAAACACGTAAAACGTTCACTAGAAACAATTTTGCAGAACATAATTATAATTACACACATCCATCAAAAACAAATTATCCCCCACGAAAAAATTTTAATAACTATACAAGATCTCGAAACTGGGATAACCCAATGGCACAAACTAATTCAGTAAATTTTCAAACAAATTTACATCCTTCACAGGATCGTAGTGAAAACTATCCATTTTTTCAACAAAATAAAAATAAAAAACAAACATCTTATCAAATGGATTACTTATCCTCAGATGATGATTTTTTACAACCAGATATATTTGCACCATATAATCAAGAATATCGTGGACAAGGAGTACAGAAACCACATACAAATCATAGAATTTTTTCTCCACAACCGATAGATACACAAAATCAACAACCAATTCAGCAACAAAACCCAATTAATACACAATATTTTCAACCAATTCAGCAACAAAACCCAATGATCACACACTCGTATCAACCGACACAAATGCAAAATGAAATACCACTCCCATATTAACTTCAACAACACGAAATAACAAGAAATCAACTTTCAAATTTTTCTCAAATGCCAAATGCAGCAGATTCATTACAAATGACAATGAATCCATACCTTATGGGTGGATCATCAATAACATCAAATAAACCTTTAATGGTATTCACAGGAACAGACCCTGAATATTCTGTAGAAGACTATTTAAATGCAGTAACAGCAAATTTGATTTTAAATATAGTACCTGAACCAATTAATACGCCACTACATCAAAACTGGATACATCGACGCACAGCGTTGATACAAACAACTTTAGACGGCGCAGCCCAAAAATGGTTTTCAGTATTGCCTCTAGAAATAAAATCACATTGGAAAAGGTTTACACAAGAATTTTCAAAAATGTTTGACTCCGAAAGAAACAAACAACAACAAAGAGTTTTATGTAATGAAATTCGCAGATTACCAAATGGAACCATCAAGCAATTAGCAGTACGCATCGAAACACTAGTTCGAAAAGCATATTCATTAAATACACATGACTATAAAAACACAAAGATGACAGAAATCCTAATGATGACCTTAACACCGCAATTAAGAAAAATAGCAATAAAAAAGAGAGCATCCCATCCTTCTTCAATTCGAGAACCCGATTTAGATTTTCGAAAACTAGTAGACAAACTAGAACAAGCAGAAATCACAATGAAACTCGAAGAAACAGAAAATCTGAAATTACAATATGTTAACCGAATCGAAACAAATACCACAAGTATCAACAATATACAGGAATCAGATACAGACCTCGTTGAAAAAATCACTGAAATACTCAATATTTACGAAAAACACCCAAACTTTAAAGGCAAACCATCTTTCAAAAAATGGTGTAATTATTGCCGACGATACGGAATAGTATT